GTCCGGTGAAGGGTCGCACTCTAAGGGGGTGTGATGTGGACAACTTACCCTGATGCAAGCATTAATGGCTAATTCTATGCCTCGAACCCGTGACATATGGGTTACACAGAAATAACTTGATTGTTGCTTCAAGGCTCCCTTCAATTATGTTTAAGTTGATGAAACATGAAAATATGTATTGAGAAACCCACCAAGTATTTATCAATATTTGATTTTGAACTCAATTATTTTAGTATATTAACTTAAGGTTATCGTAAAAATTCATAAAGTTTAAATCCTTAATCCGTTTATGCTTCCACTTTTCATTTGCTACTGAAGACTATTCTTGCAATGAATGTTGGCATATCTGGTTAAGAAGAAGCAATTAATAAAACATGGGGGAAGGACGTTCTTTGTTGCTTAGGTGAAAGAGCTAGCTATAAAATAACAACACCATATGAGAGAAACTCAATACCCTCGGATTGGACAAGTTTGGTGAAATATTTGGACTGTTATATAATTGAAGAATTAACCCAAATAGCCGTTCACCTAGCCACTTAAACTAAAAATAGTCAGTGGAGGTATAATGTATGCATAATTTATGTATTATATGTGTATAATTGTGTATAGTCAATGTATAATATATNATAAGACCAAGAAGGCCGTACTGGAGAAATAGAATTTGGGCTGGATCTTGTGCAACTCGATCGGATGGACTTCCAAAGGAAAATTCACGAGGAAATTATCTAGATGGGTGATTGATAGGAATGACCCCGTAAGGAGCTGGTCTTAGTCGAATATTCTTAAAATTGGCAGTATTTAAAAAATAACTTATTGCTCTGTAGGGTTTTCTCTACCGGATTGGTAGAGTTTATATTATTTTTACTCAACCTATATGTTAAGTTGTTCAGCGAAGTCTGCCCGATTGACATGTTTTTGCTCTTCTGGGATTTTCCTGTCGGATTGGTAGAGTTTATACTATATTTACTCTCACTACAAGAAAGTGGAGATATGATGACATTTAATAAATGTCATATTAAGTTGTTTAAATGTCTCAAATTTATTTACTGACATTTAATTTACATTTGCATCAAATGTCGTTAATTTCAATATCGGTAATTTTTTGACATTTAGAGAAATGCCGGTAAGAAATTATGACACTTACTTTACGACATTTAGGTAAATGTCAATAAGAAATTATGATATTTATTTTACGACATTTAGGTAAATGTCAATAAGAACTTTACGACACTTACTTTGCAACATTTAGGTAAATGTCAATAAGAACTTTACGACACTTACTTTGCAACATTTAGGTAAATGCTAATAAGAAATTTATGACATTTAATTTACGATATTTAGGTAAATATCGGTAAGAATATTACGACATTTAGTTTACAACATCTAGGAAATTTCACTTAAAATACGACATTTACGTATGAGCTTCACAAAATGTCATATTGAAATTTCCGACATTTTATAAATGCCAATAAGAAAATTCACAACATATACAAAATGTCGTATCCACTTTAAGTGAAAGTCATTAAAAATATTAGTGACATATCCTTTACAACATAGCAAAATATCGTATTAAATGTTTGACATTTAAATTAATGTCGGAATCATATTTTTTAGAATGTAAATAATAATGCTCTGTTTAGTTTCATCATGAACACATTTACATTCACAAATGTCAACTTCTATAACAAATATGAATTAAATGTAAAGCAAATATTTTTTAATAATGTAACCAAAGAACAAAGTAGCAATATAAAACGTACTTAGTACAAGAATAATGTCAAATCAAATGATTTGTTCTCACGTAAAACTCAAATCTAACTAAATCATAAAAGATAGTAATTTCAATGTGCAAGAACTTTAAGATCACTCCTAATTCGAATTAATATTCCTCAACTTCTAGACTAAATCTTATAAAACAAACTCTCCACAAGTCAAGCTTTTCACTGCTAGTAATTGACATCACTTCCTTCAAAAATGATGTACAATAAGTCACAAAAGAAAAAGAATTATACCTTTAAAATAAAGTGAATTCTTTCCTCCTTTAAAACAATTGGAATATAAAAAATAATAACAGAGGTTCTAAAATAGAAACAAATTGATAATGAATGCAATACTAGCAGCTAAAGAGAGAAAGAAACAGACAACATAAAGCCAAAAATCCAACAAAGTGAACGCAACTGCCCAAACCGAACAACAACTGAAATATTGTAATATCATATGCAGTTAAAGATATTGTTTTGGTTGTAGAGGGATGTGGGAGAGGGGAGGGTTGAATTTTGAAATATTAGTTTCTATAAATGGTATACTGAGATGAAAACTAATGGATGTTATATAAGTTTTGCAAAAGTATAACATGAAGGGTTTCTCCCTTTGAAAAGGAGGAACAAGAATATTGTAATTTTTTCAAACTTACCCGCTTCTTTTTCTTTGTGCCAACTTCACTGTAACGATCTGGCCGATCGTTTTGAGTATTATAACCATGTTTTTCCATTTACTGCTTAAGTTATTCTTTACAGTTGTGTTATGACTTACCAGGTTAGTTGGCTCGGGTCCATAAGGATTTCGGAGTAAAATGAGATACTTAGTCTCATAATTAAAAACTTAAGTTAGAAAAGTTGACCGGATATTGACTTATGTGTAAACGACCTCGAAATTTAATTATGATGATTCCAATAGCTCTGTATGGTGATTTTGGACTTAGGAGCGTATCCGAAAAATTATTTGGAGATCCGTAGTGGAATTAGGCTTGAAATGACAAAAAGTCAAATTTTTGGGACGTTTGACCGGGGGGTTGACTTTTTGATATCGGAGTTGAAATCCGATTCTGAAAATTTTAGTAGGTCTGTTATGTTATTTATGACTTGTGTACAAAATTTGAGGTCAATTGGACTTGATTTGGAAGGTTTCGGCGTCGTTTGTAGAAATTGGAAGTTTCAAAGTTCATTGGGCTTGAATTGGGGTATGATTCATTGTTTTAGCATTGTTTGATGTGATTTGAAGGCTCGACTAAGTTCGTATGATATTTTAGGGCTTCTTGGTATATTTGGTTGAGGTCCCGGGGGCCTCGGGTGAGTTTCGGATGGTTAACGGATGAAATTCGGACTTAGAAGAAAAAGCTGAAGTTTCTGCCATCTGATGCAATCGCACCTGCGGAAATTCCATCGCAGGTGCGAGCTCGCAGAAGCAAGACTCCCATCGAAGATGCATCCAGGTATGAAGATAAGCAGTGGCCGCAGGTGCGACAAAATTTCCGCACCTGCGAGGTCGCAGGTGTGAAGCAATGCACGCAGAAGCGGAAAAGGGAGGGGGAGATGGCCTACGCAGAAGCGCAGATATGTGCGCAGGTGCGGATTTCGCAGAAGCGCTGAAAGGGGTACAGGTGCAGAGTTTCGCACAGAAGCGGGCTATGAGGGTGCAGAAGTGAGACCGCAGAAGCGGCCAAGTTTCTGTAGGTACGAAAACCCCTAGGCAGTACAAAAACATAGGGGTTTCGAGCTTTTGCCATTTTGGGGCATTTCATGCTCGGGTTGGGCGATTTGTGAGCGAGGTTTTCACGGAAAAACTTGAGGTATGTCTATTGTGATCATTTATACTCCATAATATTGAATTATCATCGAATAATCCGACTAGATTACATGTTTTTGAGGTGTAAATCGGGGGTTTGAACATAGGGATTTGAAAATAAGATTTGAAGATTTGGAGGTCGAGTTGAGGTCGGATTTTGGTAAAATTGGTATGGTTAGACTCGTGATTGAATGAGCTTCCAAATTTTATAATTTTTGTCGGGTTCCGAGATGTGGGCGCCACGGACAATTTTCGAGCTAAATTTTGGATGTTTATGGCAAATTAGTATTTTCTTATGAAATTAATTATAATAAATTTTACTGACTGAATCGAATTATTTTGGCTAGATTCGAGGCATTTGGAGGCCAATTCACGAGGCCAAGACATTGCAGAATAAAGAATTACACGATTTCAGGTAAGTAACAGTTCTAAATTTGGTCCTGAGGGTATGAAACCTCGGATTATATGTTATGTGATTGGTTTTGAGGTGACACACATGCTAGGTGACGAGCGTGTGGGAGTGCACCGTAGAAATTGTGACTTGGTGAAATTCCATGGAATTGTATAGTTCAATAATCTGTTGATATCCATGCATTCTCTACGTGTTAGAGAAAAATTGAGTTGAGACTCGTATTAAAAATCATGCTTAGACATATGCTGTTGTTATTGGTACCCACTGGGGTCATTTCTGTGGTTGAATTATATGTTTAAATTATAATTTCACACTTAGTCATGTTCATTTATTTCATATCATATCTCAATCTCTGTTGCTATTTATTGATACATCATATTATTATTTTTGGGCTGATTTTCATGCCATCTTGAGCCCGAGTGACTGGAGAGGTTGATGACTAAGTGAGGCCGAGAGCCTAATTGTGAGGATATTTATGGGATCGAGCTGCGCGCCCCAGCATGTTTCACTGTTATATGCCATGATTGGCTTGATATAGTGCTTGGGCTTAAGGAGCCCCTCTGGAATCTGTACAGACCCCCAGTGAGTGCAAGTACCTACTAAGTGCGAGTGCCGAGTGATGAGTGACTTTGAGGAATGAGCGACTGTGAGGAAAGAGTGGTTGTGAGGAAAGAGTGACTGTGAGGTTGGAGTGAATTGGAGGATTGAGTGACTGCTACTCTGAGAGGATGCATTGATTTCATTATTTGCTGCATTATAGCTGTCATATATCACTATTTTGAAAATTTTGAAAAAATATTATTTTCTGTTTTGGTCAAACTTGATATGAAATTTCAGTGAAATCTTAAATGTTGAACTTGAGAGCATGCCTACTCGTTTATATTGAAAAGTACTGTATTTGGACTTAGTTGAGAAGCTCATCACTACTTTCATTTCTTTATTTATTATTGTTACTTACTGAGGTAGTTGTAATCATACTACACCCTGCACTTCGTGTGTAGATCCAGGTGATCCCGGACACAGTGGGTGTTGATTCTTTCACACAGTTGATTTTTCGGAGACTCAGAGGTAGCTGCCATGTTTCACAGACCTTGTATCTCCTTCCCTATCTCTTTGTTTACTGTATTTAGTCTTAGACTATTATAGACTGTGTTTTCCAGACTTATAATGTATAGATACTCATGTACTTAGTGACACCGAATTTTGGGAGTGTGTTTATTTCTAATGTTTGTATCAGTATTTGCGAGACTTGTGAATTGTGTTTAAATATTATAATTTTAAATATAAAAGAAACTGTGGGTTATTGAGGTTGTCGTCTTGCCTGTAATCGAGATATGCGCCATCACAACGGGTGAGGTTTTGGGTCGAGACATTCACTAACTCCAGTCTTCTTGATTATGTTAACCTGAGAAGAAATATTAGATTGGTTACTCTGGTAGTTTACAAAATTTACAACTTAGAAAATTGTGAATACAATATATAAAAAAAGGACAAAGTCATATAATAATTTTTATTTTCTAATATGATGGCATTTCAATCATAGATCTTTATTTCCCTGATCTAGACAAGATTCTTTAACTTACTCTTTCTTCCAGGTTCTACATGAGGCTAAATACCTTATATAGTAGAATAGAATCATGCTTGATGGGAATCTTACCAATTAACAAAAAGAAAAAAGAAGCTAACTTCTTCACAGCTGCAGCAAGAATGCCACCATCATCGTCAAACACAAGTTTAAAAAATGGAACTATATCCTTAAGTGTAAGCTTCATAAGAGCCTGAAGAGTTGAACACGGATGCTTTTTCATAAAAACATGCTTACTGTGGTTAGTGGGCAAAGTAGTATCATTTGAGTTTTCATTAGGAGGTGAACAAGTCTCATCAAAATGCACCCCCTTAGGGCTCAGCAGTTAGAGGACATATTCATAATCTTTTTTACTGTAAAATAGCCTCTATACTTTGGAATGCTATTTAGAACCTTCACGTAACTGGATTGAAAATTGACATAGTTAAAACTATACTCTTTGAATGTATGTAGAAAAAGATATAGTTAAAATGAGTTTACGAACTTACCTTCTTTGTGTGAACAACTAAAATAGGTGATAGTGATTGTTGGAGATCGTCCATTGAGTTATCACAAACCTATCACAAAAGAGGAAGATTATTACAATTAAAAAAAACTAAATTACAAGATTATCTTAAAAATAATAAATTTTTGCTAAAGAGCACAATATTTGTTATATGCTCATCACCAGATAATTTCCTATTTGAGACAATAGTAATACCCAAAGATTCTAGATATGCATCTATACCCATCTTTACTTTATCATCAATTTTTGTATCCATATTCTTTGTTGCTTCAAACATTTTTCCCCCATCGCTTTTATTTCTTCTTTTGCTTCAAATAACTTTTTCTCCGTCGCTTCTATTTCTTCTTTTGCTTCAAATAACTTTTTCTCCGTCGCTTCTATTTCTTCTTTTGCTTCAGACAATTTTTCTTCCATCTCAATTCTCATAGCGGAGGTAGCTTTTTCCACTTCTATCTCAACCCTTCTATCAAAACCTCTTTGCTCAACAAAGTTTCTCCAAGCAATACTATCAGCAGAATGCCGCATTACCCCGTCTTTAGTGCAACCTTCCGCATGCTATCTCATATTAGTAGATATTTTAGATGACATGAATAACCTTTGAAGCCTCGGTATCAATGGAAAGTATCAAAACACCTTTGCTGGAATTTTTGAGGTTTCCAAACTACCAGATTCACCTACAAATTGTTTGTATCTTGGAGCTTTGCAAAACTTACAATCAGTTCGATCTTTTGTCTCACTCCAATAGATCATATAATCATTTGGACACGNCAGTTCGATCTTTTTGACTCACTCCAATAGATCATACAATCATTTGGACACGCATATATTTTTTTGTATTCGAGTCTTAAATATTTAATAATTATTTTTGCATCATTAAAGGAATTAGGTAATATTTCACCTTCAGGAAAATCTTTTAACAACTCTAATAACATGGAAAATGAATTGTTACTCCACCCATTGAGACACTTTAAATGTAATAGACGAACAAGAAAGGAGAGAAGTGAATATTTGCTTCCAGGATATAATTCACGCTCAGCTTCTTTCAATAAGTTAAAAAACTTTTCAGTTTTCTTATCAAATCCCACATTATGTTGATTTCACCCACCAAAACTATCACCACGAGTGTCCATATTAATAAAGTCACTAGTAGGAGGAACTCCAAAACCATCATGCACCAAGTCTTGTATCTCATCACCTCTATCTAATCTATCCACGGACATTGATGAAGATGATGTCTCACCATGAAAATCCAATTAACGTAATTAGGTAGAAATCCATCAACCACAATATGTTCAACAATCAACTCTTTCGGGATAAATTTCATATTACGACACTTCCGACATGGACACAAGATTTCAGATGCATTAGGCCTATCTAATAAGACAAAATGAAGAAACCTTTTGGCTCCATTAATTTTAATTTTATTTCTATTCAATATGTTTATCCAACTCTTATCCATTAAGAATAATATATACATATAACAAACAAATCAACTAAAAGAGAATAGTTATAAATAGAAACTAGAAAGAGTATATCGCAGAATACGAATATATATTATAATTTATACACTTTACTAATGACTATACAAATGTATTAATTCAGAGCATGGCAAAAAATATATCTAGTTTCTTTATTTTTTTCCAAGTGAATCTTACAAACTAGTTCACTCTATCGCCACAATATTTAATATTTTATCATGACTAAGCATAATCAAACTATAGAATACCATAATTGACATCTTGAGTAAATAATCTAATTGAACTCTAAGCATAATTTCACTAAATAATGAAAATCTTATATCCAACTTTATAAATGTACTAAACAACAAACACCCAAAAACACACAAAAAAAATCACAATCAATACCTAAAAGAGATAATTGTTAACCCAAATGCGAACAATTAAGAAAAAGAAAGAAATATGTAACCCAAATCCGAACAACTAAGAAAAAGAAATAAATCTGCTAACTAAATTGGGTACCTTGAATTTGTAGAAAACGAGTTATGTGAATCTCAGCAGAAAAAGCCTCAGCGGCAGCAAAAGCCTCAGTGATTTTCGTCTCCAAGTATCTATTATAGCACAGAAATGCAAAAAATAAGTTTTCATAGAATTCTAACTAAGGAAGGAAAAGTATATTTTTTAGAATTGGGAGGAGGGAAGCAAAACTCTTACCGCCAAAATATTTTCCTTCTAAATCTCCAATACTCTCCATACATAGCTCCTTTTGAGTCTTGGGGTGGAGGGAGCGGACTTGAGAAATTTTTGGCCAAACCCAATTTGAGATTTTGAGCCAAAATTGATTTTAGATTGAGAGAAGAGAGCGGATAGTTCCTGAGGTGCTTCTAAGGCTAGGAGCATATGGCTAATCTATGTTTCTCAATTGTGGTCAATCATAAATGTGGGTTCCATGGTTCTATATATATTTTTGTTTTATTTTAAATATTTCATCTTTAAATCTAACATCTAACAAGTAGTAATAATAATAATAATAATATATATTTTGACTAAATATTGACAAGAGTGGGTTGTTCTAGTGGTGAGCACTCTCCACTTTCAACCAAGAGGTTGTGAGTTCGAGTCATGCCAAGAGCAAGGAAGGGAGTTCTTGGAGGGAGGGAGCCGAGGGTCTATTGGAAATAGCCTCTCTACCCCAGGATAGGGGTAAGGTCTGCGTACACAGACTAAATATTGATATTTTAATAAAAAGTTTTAAATCGGCAAAATGTTTTAAAAGTCGAGTCATATGACGTGAGCATTTCACTTAATATCACGTAAGCCTCATGAATTTTTAAATATTTTAGTTCAAGAAATCAAAAACAAATTATATAACATAAAAATATAGAAAGTATATTAAAAGTTTAAGAAAATTAAAGGATTAAGGAAACTCATAAAAAATCAAAATATCTAACATGTTTTACAAGTATAAACAATGCAATAACGTTAAAATTATTATCAAACTACATATTTGATTACTTCCCTAAAAGACTAGAAGTTATAAATTATTATCAAACTACACATTTAATTAAAAGTAATAATCAACAAACTTTATCAATATTATAATTCAAAATATTACTCCTTCATAAATAAATCCAAAATATTAAAGTCTCATAATTTTGGTAGACAAAAAAACTAAGAAATTAAAATCAATTGCGAGTGAAGATATACAGTTCGACTATCTATATATTCGAAAAAAATATTCAAATAATATTAACCCTCACGATGTTCTCACTTAGTAAATATGCAATACTATGACTCGTTATTTGAGTGAAGATCATTCATATGTTAATGTCTTTTGAGGATCAACACTATTAATTAGAAAGTTTAACAGATGATTTACCTAGTAATTATTGAACGAACCTGAGCGCTGAGCGATAGGCGTGTAGGGCGCATAATCATATGTTTTGGTGTGCATGTAAGCCTCACAATTTAAGCCCTACACTTGAGCCACCTCAAGGCATTATGCAAATGCCTTCCCCAGGAGCTAGTCCTGGACGAGCCTTTTAAAATATTAAGCAACAACAACAGAAATAGTCTATATTGTAGGTAATTATCACAATATTTTAACAAATTAAATATTAAATATAAAGGGTGATATTTTTTTTAAGACAAAGAATGATTTAAAATTTAAAAAATATAGAGTAATTTCCAATTGTAGATGTAAATATTCGTAATTACCGACAAATAATATGACATTTAACGTAAGGTCATATTTTTTTGTCATTTCTAACAAACATATTTTTACAACATTTGATATAAGTGTCGTATTTTGTCATGACCCAAAATCTCACATGTCGTGATGGCGTCTATCTCAATACTAGACAACTCGACAATTTCAATAAACTACCATATCTTTTAAGTTTGAAAATTAAATAATTAAATTCAGCGGAAGAAATGCCACAAATACAAATATGACACTCCCAAAACCCGGTGTCACTGAGTACATGAGCATCTAAATAAATACAAAGTCTGATTGATAAAAATCTATAACGACCCGGACAGTCGATTTAAAAGTTGTAGACTCGTTACCCTATTTAATGCTCATTATGTACTTTATAACTGTTATATGACTTGCCGGGGCAATTGGTTCGGGCCCGATGAGGTTTTTAGAATGAATTGGAATACTTAGTTCCCAAGTTTAAAACTTAAGTTGAAAAGATTGGCTGGATGTCGACCTATGTGTAAACGACTCCGAAATAGAATTTTGATGATTCCAACAGCTCCGTACGATGATTTCAGACTTAGAAGCGTGTTCGGAATTTTATTTGGAAGTCCGTAATTAAATTAGGCTTGAAATGGCTAAAATAGGCATTTAAATTTGGAAGTTTGACTGGGGAGTTGACTTTTTAAAATCGGGATCGGAATCCAATTCTAAAAATTTAAATACCTTCGTTATATCATTTATGACTTGTGTGAAAAATTTGAGGTCAATCGGACGTGATTTGATAGGTTCTAACGTCGTTTGTAGAAATTGAAAGTTTCAAAGTTTATTAGGCTTGAATCTATGTGTGATTCGTGTTTTTAGTGTTGTTGGATGTGATTTGAAGACTCGACTAAGTTCATATGATGTAGTAGGACTTGTTGGTATATTTGGTTGAGGTCCCAGGGGCCTCGGGTGAGTTTCGGATGGTTAACGGATCAAAATTTGGGCTTAAACAACTGCTGGAAATCTCTGATATTTGTATGTGGTTTCCTTATACGCGATCGCGTGAATGTGTCTGCGATCGCGTAGGCTTAGTTGGACAGTGGAGGTTTTGTTCTATGCGATCGTGTGGGGATATTTGCGATCGCGTAGGGTTAATTTGGGGCTGCTGAGTTTTGTGCTACTCGATCGCGTGAAGAGGGATGCGACCGCGTTACTCTGGGATTTTGTGACTCGCGAATGCGTGGATATGGTTGCGTTCGCATAACGTAAGTGTAGCATAAGGGGAGGTCACGCGTTTATTCTACACGATCGCGTGAAGAGGGCTACGATTGCGTAGAGCTGGGAACTCTGTGCTTTGCGATCGCATGGGGATATACGTGATCGCGTAGAGTTAATTTGGGCAGTGGAACAATTGTGCTTCGCGATCGCGTAGAGCAAATGACTGGGCAGAGAGTTTAAGTTCTGAGTCCCATTTTCCATTTTTATCGATTTGGAGCTCGGATTGAGGCGAATATTGGGAGATTTTCAGAGGAAAGAACGGGGTAAGTTTTCTTAACTCAATATTGGTTAAATTACCCGAATCCATAGTTGTTTTTATCATTTAATGGGTGAATTAAGTTGGAATAATTTAGAAAACCCTCTTTGATAGATTTGAGGATTTGAGGGTCGAATTGTTATTGGAAATTAGTCATTTTGGTATGGTTAGACTCGTGGTTGAATGGGCGTTCATATTCATAACTTTCGTTAGATTTCGAGACGTGGGCCCAACGGGCAATTTTTGAGTTAATTTCGTATTTTTATTGAAAAATGCAGTATTGTTTTATGGAATTACTTCTATAATTTTTGTTGACTGTTTCGAATTAATTATGACTAGATTCGAGTCGATCAGATTAAGAAAATTGGGGAAAAGGCGTACTACTTGATTAAATTAGAGCAAGTCGAGATAAGTGACTTGTCTAACCTTGTGTGAGGGAAATTTCTCCTAGGATTGGTATTGAAGTGATAAATTATAATGTATTGAAAGTCGTGTACACGAGGTGACGAGTGTGTACACGGAATAAATGTGGAACATTATGTCTTTAAATTGTTCAGATCACTATTGCATATTAATTCAATAATTGTACCTTGTTATATTCTTCATCATTGATTTAATTTTTATATTTTAAATTTGCTTGACCTTTTTTTACTAATTGTTTTACCTGTTTAGTTAAAACTTGGTTTCTTTTATTCTGTGCATTATTTGAAGATTGATTTTCTTTAATTTAAATATTATTAATATGAAGTATTTGACATTTTAAATTTGGTATTGAAGCAACGTATTAAAAATTTTGAAATATTATTTTGTTGAATTATTTATTCTCAAATATCTTTGTGAGATTTTTTATACTCATTGTGATTGAGTCATGATCTCCCTGTTGTGAAAAAATATTGTTGATGTTGTTATTTTGGCAAATTTAATTATTTGGGCACTTGAGGTGCAAATTGTGATATATTGTAATATTGATATGCATGCGGTGGTATAAGGTATGGGTGTCGAAACGCATGCGGTGAGATAAGGGTGGCTTGATATGCGTGGCTAGGAGGGGAACTATTAGAAGTCATGCGGTGTGATAACAGTGGCTAAAACGTGGGATACTATTTTGGAAAAAATATTTTCTTTAAAATATATTGTGAAGGATCCCGCGGTGATATAAGGAAATGAGATATTGTGAATTTATTTATGATTTGGGACTACGAGGCGATACCTCGGGATTGCCCTTGTTGATATTGATTTATGGTCGCAGTTGCCTTTGATTATTGTTGTAATTTTTTTAAAGTTGAAAAGAATTCTGTTTTGTTTCCACGAGGTATTATTTGCCATTATTTTGTGTAATTAAATGGTGACATACTACTTGATTTATTTTCATTGTCATTTTATTTTATTATATTGTTAAACATTTTTACCATGCCATTATTATTTTTCAGTAGGGCCTGACCTGACCTCGTCACTACTCTACCGAGGTTAGGCTTGGCACTTACTGGGTACCGTTGTGGTGTACTCATATTACGCTTCTGCACATCTTTTTGTACAGATCCAGGTACATCCTACCAGTCCATACATCAGTGAGCAACCTGTGTACGGAGACTTCGTGGTATATCTGCCAGCGTCCGCAGACTCTAGAGTCCCCTTCTATCATTATTATGTTGTTTTCTTAATTTCCTTAGACCTTTATATGTAGATACATTAAGGATAAATTCTTAGAAGCTTGTGACTTATTTCTACCGGATTTTGGGAGTTTTAATTAAGTAAATTGCAGATTTATTTATTTCATAATTCTACTATTATTTCGCATTGATAGACTTACCTAGTCTTAGAGACTAGATGCCATCACGACATCCTACAGAGGAAATTTGGGGCCGTTACAAGTTGGTATCAGAGCTCTAGGTTTATAGGTGTTATGAGTCGCAAGCAGATTTAGTAGAGTCTCACGGATCAGTACGGAGACGTGTGTACTTATCTTCGGGAGGCTATGGAACTGTTAGGAAAATATTCACTTCTTTGATTCCTTATCGTGTGCATTTATTGACTTCAAAATTTTAAACCATTGTATTTCTAATCTCTCACAGATGGTGAGGACACGTACAACTGGATTCGATGATCAGACACATGTGCCCCCTATTGGAGCCGCAAGAGGCTGGGGCCAGTGTAGAGGCCGTGCCAGAGGCCGAGGAAGACCACGTGGT